GACCCACTGCCAAATTAGTCTTTGAGGTGATTAAGACCTGGCAATGGCCTAATTGAAAGCCTTAGTTTGCACTGCTCTGAGTGTGTGTGTGTGCGTGTAAAGTAAATCCATGCTCTGATTAAATGTAATATCCATGGTGAATATCTATGAGAGGGGGCTATGTAATCTGATGGAGGCATCTTATCAGTATGCAAATTGAACAGCTCACTTTGCTCATTATATTAAATGAGCCGCGACTGAATGAGTTTGTCTCAATTATTTCAAAGTTGTGCTGGGCGCCTGTTTCACACAGTGGTATTTTAGCTTCATATTAGAGTCAGGGTATAAGATTCAGGGCTAAGTAGAGGCTTGTCACACTCTACATTTAGGATGCCTAAAGTACAGACCACACACACACACACACACACACACACACACACACACACACACACACACACTAAACTAAATAACTAAATATTGGCCACCCTGTGGGGTGTCAGCTATAAAAGATGACTTAGCCAGGCAATGATATCATTAAAGACTAAGCAGAGAAATGTATGAGGACACAAAAGGCCAACCTTCACGTTGCTCTGTGTGCCGCTGTATAATCTGTTAGTGGGGGGTATGAATAAGCTCACTGCAAGGACAGCAAAAGTGTCAGAAAAGGGTAACTGTGACACAGACCAATGTAGTAATGTATCAACATAATTTCATGTTATTTCCTATTCTCTGCGGTTTCTGTGAAAATGATTCCATTTTGACCGTAAATGATTATTCTATACTGTATGTGAAGAGATTTCTCAGATTTTACTACATGCCCTGCACACCTCTGAAAATATGCAAACAGCAAACAGCAGTGAGGGTCGGTTCAGTGTATGTAACTTGTATGATACTTCAATTTCTGTGCGAATCTGTTTGTTATACACAATTTGCAGAATCATGTACAGATGTTGGTGATGTACCTTTACCGTGACTGACCAATGTGAGATTTTGTATTTCCATATTTTACGAAAGTAGAATTTACATGCACATTCATCATGTTATTACAACAATAGATATAATTCAAACAACATAGATTCAAATACGAGATGCATAAACAGACAAGATTTTCCAAAGCTATCTAAAATAAATTGAAAACAATCATTTGAAAGCATCCTCCTTAATTTTCTTGAAAGCGTAATATCTCAGAGGTGCTTGTCCTAACGGTCAAGATAAGTGGTTATGGTTGGATTAACAACATCTTATTTGTGTCCGGTGTTTTTGCCATGTTTTAAAATAAATCCACTGGGGAAATAAAGTTGTTGTAGCACCAAATAGTCAGAGGCAATATGCATATTCTTTGTGGATAGTGAATAAGATAGCAATTCCTATAATTCAAATACCTGTGGAGACATAGAAACTCAAACGTCTTTTCCCGACTTTCATCCAAAATAGCTCAGCTAAAGGAGACATGTGAAATCTAAATTCACAAATGTTCTGAATTATCTCTTAAAGTACTGATATTCAGCCTATTTGTAGATGCACAAGTTACCATAGCATGTTGCCATGGTGAAAGTGCCACTACACACACAGATATGAAGTGACAGCTATAAGGTGACGAATCTGGAAGCTTGACAGGACTTGCCAGTGACCAGAAAATGGATGAAGATTCTGTAAAGAGCTTTTGGATCAATACCTCTCTGCACTGAGGTCTTTGCCAGAATGATTAATTGGAACAATTTGATGTTAATATCATACAAATACAAACAATGGACTGCTTACATCACTGAATACTAATGCAGGGTCTGTATCGGCTGGGAACCTCTTTTATACTGCCATTAACAATACATATAATTCATGCTCGATTTTCAGAATTAAATATCTGTCATGAATTCTTTTAGCATCTCCAGTAATTCTGTATTGAATTTCAAGCAGTTATGAAATAAATTTCACAGAGAGCAAAGTGTCTCATAGATCTTTTTAATCTTGTTTTGGAAAAGCCAGTGTTTCATAGTTCTTGCTTCAATACTGCCCCCATGTGATAGGAAGCTGAATATTACCCAAGTACTGAACTACTGAAAGGAATCATCACATCTTGTGGTCATGACTGCTGCTGCAGCCTTCAACACAAAATTGTAAGTTTAAGATTGAGCACCCACAGTCATCGCCATTGTGGTGTAATAAATCTTAAGCAAACTTTTCTTTTTCTTTGTTCAAGCTATGCTCAGACAAAAAGGTAACTTGAAAGTGAATGTGTCATTCTGTAATGTATTATGTTTAATCGACAGTGTTAAAAGTCCCCATCCCTTGTCTTTATCAGAGCACAGCACGAGCCTCACCAGCACATCCCAGAGCGGTGTGAGAGAGAGCTGAATAGATCCAAAACTCAGTTGTTTCATCTTTAAGTTGATGACTGTCTTTCTCCTTGGGTGATGTGACAGACAGGTCTGGTGCACCATATGAAATATGAAACAGGATGGGGACACCGTTGACAGCCATGTCACAAAGCATCAGTGAGGATGACAGCACCAAAGACCCCGGTCTGCTACACTGACATCTCTGCAGCTAATCGGAAGGTACAGGCCCTCACAGCTGCTGGACCAAAAGATGGAGAGAGGGTCAATAATTTAACAGTTGCAATATGTTGAGGCTAGTCCAACGTTAAGGTCTCCTTCTATCCTTTTCCTGCACTCTGTCAGTTTTGTGAACAAAGACTCATCACCTGCCTTGTAGTATTTTAAATTAAACAGCGATTCACAACTTCAGACGACTGCAACGTCTAAGATACTTTCAGATGTGAGGAGACTGCATAATCTATGTGTTAACATTGCTATAATCTGCATGATTTGATTGCCACTCTAAAGCAGTTTACTCTGTATATTGTGACTCACAAATCACATGACCTGTCAGTGTTTACAACATCCTTGCTGAGTAAATAAGTCATTCATTGCTATGTCTTATTCTTTCAATGAGGCATTAAAGAAATACCTAGGTTTTCTACCACTTGTGGGTCACATTGCCATGACAACCAAGATGAGCTGTTTGTTCTGGCAGACATCACCTTTACTATCTCACCTCTGGTGGCTGGCACTCCAGTGTCACCGGTCCAGAAATGGTGAAGGGGGCTCAGTAGGTGGGCGGAGGAAGGTGGAGACAGGGGGAAAGCAAGGGTGACGGGACAGGAAGACCAGCAGAGAGAGGGATAAAAGAAAGGATGGAGATTTGGCTCATTGTTCGCTCTGGGCCCCTACGATACCCTAATGACGGATGCCAGCGCTGCACTCAGGTGAAACAGAAGTGGCGGCAGTGTGATGGCAAGGAGTAGTCCCAGCGGAGGAGAAGAATACACAATGCAGGAGCGAAGGACATTCGCAGGTGTCACAGGTCTTTTCCAGGACACTCATGGCCTCTCTAGCTGTCTGAGAAACAGCTTTTGGACAACAAAAAAAAAGATTAAAGATTAAACAATTTCATTGTCATTCATTAATCAATTTACTATTTTTTAAATCCCACCCCCATGACTGTCCAATCATAGCTTAGCAACCTTAACTGGGGATAGAAGTCAAACTTTGGATTGCTTCACATGTTAAAGTGGTATTTGTGGGTGTCTACTAAAAGCAATACCCTGTAAAGGAAGGAAGGAAGGAAGGAAGGAAGGAAGGAAGGAAGGAAGGAAGGAAGGAAGGAAGGAAGGAAGATTGCTTCAAATTTTAGCCAGATAAATCACTACCAACAATACTAATCTAGTTATGTTGAAAAAAATATCAGAACAGTTGAAGACTGGATCCTCCATCTTCCAGGATCTGAGACACAACTTAATCAGAGTTTAGAGTAACACTGGCAGCTCTGCATTCCTGCCAAACTTGCATTAGATTCATTTATCATACTCACTGATTATTCCAAAACCTCAAATCCATTTCTAGTGTGAAAATAAACGTACACTCTTACCACTGCATAGCTCATACAAGTTGATTTTCTATAGCAAGCATCCACAACATAACAGTGTTATGTCGGAGCAAATAACATTTTATTTATGACTAGGTCAAACAAGTCTACCTTACACAAACAATGCTACAGTGGGATCACCAGATGGAAGGTTTAGCCCAGTAACTGTACTGGTTTGGCCTCACTGCTTTAGCCTGATGATATATTGTATGTGGCTAAAAAGTACATTTTTAAGATTGTGATACAGGGATGTCATTTTAGCATTAGCTTGTGTTTGCAAGCTACATCTGACAAAATCTGTAAGGCAGACACTTGCAGTCTACAAAATCTGGAAATGGCAAACTGCTTTTGTTTGCTTCTGTTAAAAGTAACTTCCTGTTGTGGCCATGATTAGAGATTAACCTGCTGTAATGCTTTTTACCCTTTTTTGCCCTCAGTGGTCACTGTTTCTGACAGCCTGTTAGCCTTTTACATATTGCGTTAACCTCCCAAGATGGCAGCAAAACACTGTTGTTTTGGGTTTTAAAGGAAGTTTGTTTGAACAAATGATGGTCAAACAGTATCATCATGTAGTTCTTCATCCTTGACCAGATTTTACTGACAGATGGACAGATTTTCTGCATATGGGTGATTCATATAGCCTATGTTGCCCTTTAAGTTGGCAAATGCGGAGGGTATGCATCAGCATCACTTTTCATATGATACAACCCCTCTCACACATGACACTTTTTATGAATGGGGAAACCGCTGATTGCACAACAGCAGTCTATACTCTCCTATTAAGGTTTTTCTTCTTTTTCCATGTGAATGCATGAATGGCATGTTAAGTGCACGCCTTCAATAGAAAACTAAATTACCAGACCTTCTTAGTGTTTCCACCAATGTGATACTGCAGTCAGTTCAAAGAGTAACTGAAGTGGAGTGATATAGAAGACACATCACTGTCAAATGGTGTGGTTACGGGTGCCACAAATTTTCCAAAAAAATGTGCCTTTCATTTCTTATCTGCAAGTTTAAAGTAAACTAAAAGTCAATGGCAAAAATATTTGACTCAGATCTTTTTTTTTATTGTGTCAGTAAAAAAATCTAACTCTCCATTAAAGCTGAAAAATAAGATTTATCTGTCATAGAGAATATGTTTACAGCTTGGATTCAGCATGAATAGCAACGAAGGGGTCCTCATCTCTGTTACTGATCCTGAAGTGAGCTCGGCCATCACCGCCCACATGGATCTGCTTCCCAGTGCACCTGTTTCCTTCCTTCTGTCCAGAAATGACGTCACAATAGGTGCCACCAGGCAGACCAGTGTTCAGGGTCACAGCCAGGTCCCTGTTGGCAAAGACAAATCATATTGTTTTCAAAACCACAATATTGAATTGAACTGTATTTTGAGATGATCTTTCCTTCTTATTTTGCTGCTTTCTACTGCAACTGGATGCAAATGGTAAAATAGTAAAATAATCCTTACCAGTCATCATTGTTAAAGACGATGAAACCACGATTACCACGTCCAAAGGCAACCTGGTTGCTCTGGTTGTCCCACCAGTTGGAGTGAGGCTGTCCATTGACCACGTTACGGAAGATGACCATGTTCCTTGAGGGAAAACAATACAAAACATCTCTGATTCTGGATACTATAATTTAAATATTGAAACTGAATTTGATAAAAGGTTCACATACTATAAAGATCCTGCCTACGTATGAATCTCATTTTTAGATAGTTATCTTTAAAGTATTCCTAATGGAAAATTTTATTTTCTGGGGAAAACTGGAGTAGAAAGATAGATTATACAACTATACATTTTAGCTATTTCAGAAAAGATACACATGAAGACTTTTTGAACAGAAGTGAACAATATTCTGTGCATAAGGTCAGCAGTTCTTTCTGAGGACTCACTTGATCTGACGCCATCTGTGCTCACACACCCATCCATCTCCACAAGTCTGGTCAGGGTTGATGGGAACAGACTTGGTGGATCCATCACTATGGCTGGGAGGGCCCATCCAGTCATTCTGATCCTAGTAAATGGGTTTAATAAAAAATGTTTCCAAAAACACACCAAACATTGCATTTTATCATTACTGCTACTTAAGAGAACGAACCTTTCCATTCACAATGTGGCGGTTCCAACGGAAGCTAGACATCACCCTGGTCACTCCGTAAGGGTGGGCCAGCATGTAACCAACAGCCATCTTGTAGAGCCTGGAGTCCCAGAAGGTAACGATGGATGCACCACCAGCACCATGGCCTCTCTGGTTGTCGTGGTTGTCAACGAAGACAACAGCATTACCATCAGGCATGAAACCCCAACCCTCTCCCCAGTTCCTGGTGACAAGAAGACAATTCTACTAATGACACCCAAGTTTGGACAAAAACCTAAACCCAAATACCTAAAGTATTAAATTCAGAAACTGTAAAATGCACAAGTTCTAGTCAGTCACCATTTATGAAACATTTTGTCCCCTAGAAACCTTAGTAAGTAAGAACCTATTTATCCAATCCAGCAATTAATGCAGCAAATGGGATTGTAGTAATGTTTAAATAACCTCCTCTAATATATCAGATTGATAAAAGATTTAAGCGTATCAGCAGAAACACACACACACCTGGTGTAAAACAGCTTCTCACCATTCCATTTCCTGAAGACAGTTCCCAGTTTGGCACCATATTTGAACTCAGTTACCCTTCCCAGATGGACGTACTCACTAGATGTGATGGGCTCACCTCCCAGATCAATAACCTAGAGGGAAAACAGCACATAAATCATATCATCCACGCAATGTGAGGTAGGAATGGTTTATATTAACTGTACCATGTCAGTGATGTGTGAATTGTCATAAACTGATGCAACAAATAAAATCTTTGGTTCTGTAGTAACAAGAACCATATTTTATGCTGTTAAACCCTCTTTACTGAAGACAGAGCACAATATTATTTCATCTCAGGCTGCAGCTTACAAACTTTAAGATGCATTTTCTATCATAGCATTGAATCATGGGCTATTCAGGGACATCGTATCACATGTGCTATTCAGGTGTTGTCAACTAATAATGACTTCTTTTATTGTAACGTCTGCTCCCAGTGTGCTTGTGTTTGTGTTTGGCATCTTGATTTCTTTGCTTGTTTTCCCATGGCTCTGCTGACTGTTGATCTGTGTTATCAGTCATGAATACCGGACGCATGGGCATTTCGTATTTCTCCAATCACATGCTTGCAGCGGGGGTTTGGCCAATCATGTGCTTGCATGCAAATAGGTTTTAGTGGCAGGAGATTGTGTTCAGTAACTGCATGTTTTCCTGCAAATCAGGTCAAATCCAGCATTTTGGTTTATGAGATATTCCAGAAAAAACGCACATGACAGATGCACCTATAGTTTATAGTATAGGTATGTAGTATGTGCTGGTTGACATTTTTCCTTCTGTCTTTTTTTAGATATTAAACCATTTATGTGTGAAAATAATAATAGTAATAAAAAAAAACATGTAAAAAATCTACCTCTTGGTAGATGAAGGGTTTGGAGCCATTGGGGAACCAGCTGGCGCTGAGGTTGTGCAGACGACCATAGACAACCGCCAGGTCACCAGGCCACATGTGCTTGCAGGCATCCACTCTGAATCCAGCCACACCCATGTCAATCAGCTTGTTCATGTAGTCAGCCACCTTGCCCCTAACATAATCCTTCTCCAGGGCGAGGTCTAACAGACTGGCCAGACGACAGTCACGTACCTGGAGCAGGTAATGTATTCATTGCATTATGGATTATGACTCCTCCAACTCATATTATCTATCAGTTTTACCATATTAATGTTTGTTTTTATTCATAACTGTTGCTTGTGTTAAGATGATCACCTATACATGTATATGACAATGGTCAGACATGCACAACTAGTTGGGCAAATGTGAGAGTTTCTGACCAAACTGTGTTTTATGGATCCTTGAATGGATTGAAAAAGTTCTGTGAATTATACACTGTGAATCAGGGGGGAAATGACGTTGTTCTGACTGTTTCTCTCAGTCACTTTCATTACCTGAGAAGCATCACCATAGTTTTCAATTTCACCGCTGCCAGTCCTGCACTTGTTGTCATTGAAGTCCCAGTGGGAATAGGGGACACTGGGGAAGTCCCTCTTGCCAGCGCTGAACCAGCTTCCACACGAGGAGTGGTTTCCCTCTCCACCCGAGGCTCCACACATGTGATTGATGATAGCGTCCACATAGATGTTGACCTATTGGAAATATACATTACTATAGGTGCAACACACCGACTCAATATCTCTCATCTATCCCTTTTCACTTTCACTCCTTTTCTTTGCACATTTAAGTTCACTGTCAGGTCCTAGAAATATGTTAGAGCAGCACCGCTCACTATTGGTTTGTTTTAATGTTGGTGGTCCAAACATATGACTTCAAAGCACAGCAGCTAAATGCCTTATATGAAAATGTGAAAGAGAATTCCACGAGACAGACTCATCAATTTGTTAAATTATTGCTCTTTATTCAAAAATACCTTCTGTTATAAAATGCCAGGTGCCTGTTGTTATAAAAACAGTTTGATAATGACGCAGAAAGTGTCAAGTAGTGTGAAATGAATCTGGTACGAATTTGCTGTCTTGTACTAGGCTGTAGATTTACGAGCCACTGTCAAACACAGAAGAACAATGATCCTAATGTCTTTCACTAAATCACTGTTACAATGTAGTTTACCCCAACGTTGTTGCATCTGGTGATCATGTCTCTCAGCTCGTTCTCGCTGCCAGATCTGGAGCACAGGTTGTAGCTGATTGGCTGGTATCTCTGCCACCAGGGTCTCCAGGGACTGTTCAGCACAATGTGCTCATTTGGAGGAGAGATCTGAGAAACATGGAGGGAAAACATTACTGTAATAATCAGTTTTAATACAGGAATTATCTGCAGACAGAAGATGGCCACTAACCAGGGTTATAGTGAGTGTCCAGTACAGTTATTAAAGGGGCACTACAGCGGTTTTACACATGAAGTTTAGTTTAAACATCTCGAGAAGTACCACTCAGCCTGGGGAAAGAGATGTATAGTGTGACTCTGGAAGAACTTTCTAAAGATCCTGAAGACCCTGATGACAAGCTTATCCCTCCCCAGGCTTGAGACTTTTTTTTAACAAAATAACCTACAACCTGGATTTGTAGGGTTTGAAAGACATGGGCATTTAGGAGGAAAGCATGATCTAAAAAAAGATTGTGCATTATAGGAACTGTAGGATCAAGTATTTGGAGCTTGATCCATATTAAAAAATTAAACCATGTCTGTTTTTGATTTTTACCATTTTTAAAAAACAATCTGTACCTATGTAAGTTAAATGGAAGGAGATAAGCTATAAAGGTCAAAGAGGGATGACTAAACCCATCAAGAGAATGTATTATTCTGATTATTAGGCAAAGTTTGCTCCGCTTTCCATCTTTTCAAGCAGACAAGAATCACTTGCTGATTTCCTTTATATATTTCAAAATAAAATAATTTTTGTTTGAAATGAACCATCCTTCATTCACAGAACTTAAAACAGTGACTTTCAAAGCAGCAAACAATCTGTCTATGTAAATAAAGCTGGAATCACCTGTCACCTGTTATATTTAATTCTGTGCTCCATGGTGGGGATTACTCTAATTTACACAATACATTATGCATATGTATATATCAAGCTTTAAAGCCGTTTTTTAACCGCCATTTGTAGCCATCTGTGTGCAAACTAACTGGTGCATCATCAACATGCAGCTTGATTACTGTCCATTGATTTACTGTGAAAAAGAAAAAGAAGGGATTATCTTCCCTTCCTACACCTGTGTTCAGCCATACATACCTGAACTCCACCAAAGCCATTGGGACCCAGGAAACGCTCACACTCTGCAGCGATGTCGGCCCAACGCCACTCAAACAGGTGGACGATGGCTGTCCTTCCATGCTTGGTATGAGGGTTGTGTTGGGCGAAGCCGAGCCCGAACAGAGCCACCAGAATGAACAACTTCATGCTTCCCCGTCGATGAGCCAGAAAAACACACTGTCCTGCTGCCATGCTGTTAATATTTATACTGATTCTTTTTTCTCACGGACCAATGAGAGGCTGGGAAATATCAGCATGGATATTAAACAGGTGTTTCTTTATCAAAGTTTCCTACCTTCTCTCAAAACATGCGGAAGAAAAAATAGTTTCAAGGCACATAAAAACTGAGAAGCATAAGGTGTGCACAATGCTTTTCCCCCAAAAAAATAACAGGTTAAATGAGACTGAAAAAGTGTCAAACATCCAGAATGCTTTCCTATGCGACACACAGTGACATATCTTTCCACAGATTTTTATCCTTTTGTAGAGGTAAAAACAAACTGAAACAGAGTCCAAAAGAATCACTGCCTTGTCATATGGCAGTAAGATGAACTTCAAACATACTCAGTTTCAACACTAGCCCACAAAAATGTTATATTCTGCCTTCAGACATTACCTTAATGCTATATTTAAAACTTTATCTTCCACTAATTCAAAAATGAAGAAGAAAAAGTTGTATTTTAAACTCTCAAACCTCTCCAAACACGATCAGTTTAGATTTGTCCCGCCTCATTATTTGTTCACTCAGTTCAATAACCAGATGATGTTGCAACAGGCAGACTATATGCTGTTGCTCATAAAGCTGGAATAAAATATTTTTTACCTCTTTCCATGAAGTGATTGTGACAATGTGATTTATTTCATTTCACCTGGGTAATTGCGACACATAATGTAATCATTGCACCTGGTCAAAAGTGATTACTGATGCATTTGAATAGGAATAAACAGAGGATTTTGTCTGAAAACAAAATTATTCCAACTTTATGGGCAACAGTGTATGTACAATGTGTGTGTTTTTTGGTGAGTGATAGCTGCAGGGGCTTAAACACACTCAGCAATATTTACTTTTCCACATGTCTGAAATGTATACCTAAGTGTTTATGCAATGGAGTGACTGTCCTTGACATGAATTTGGCAATTAGCCCTAAATGTTGAATAGTGCTGGTAATTTTGAGATTACATAGATGTCATATGGTCTTATTATCAGAATAAATACAGTAGCCAATGATATGTAGAACTAAACGAGCCCTGACAAGATTTTCCAAATGTGGGCTTCAATCTGACCACAGCAATGTGGGTAAGGGGTCCTGCTACCAGTGTGCCAGCTCAGGAGAGAGATTTCTGGTTGTAGGCTACTGAACACAGGATATTATGGTTAATCATCAAAATGACTTTAATCAGAGGTGTGTTGCAGTTACTCCATAACATCTACATGTGACTCTTTTTTTAGAGCACTACATTTGATTACATTTATCACAACACTTTCTTTAGTTATGTTACATGCATGTATGCATATTCCTGGTGGTCTGCAGGGGCTCGCGGTTATCCGACCACAGCCATGACCCTCATGACTGTGGTTCATCAGGCCATAAATGTAGTTCATTGAGCTACAGTAGGGAATTCAGATGAAACAAAATGACCTAGTTGACCTCATTTTTTTTTCTTTTCCCACTGTGGGAGAACAGACAGAGCAGCCAACAAAGAGCAAACAGACCACAGCGCAGAGAGCAGCGGGCTCTGGCTGTGAACGCTGGTCTGAGGTCAGTACATCAGAGGACTGCGCTGACACTAAACTGACAGAGAGCAGTAAGTGTTGTGTTAATGGTAATAAGTTTAATACCATCGGTGTATACACATAGTATATCATGCTTTCAGAACTACTGATACTCCTGCTTTCTGTCATAATGACAATATTAACCATTAAGATCACAAACCAAATAACACTATTTTTGTTTTGTGTGGACATAAATCTGATAAACCACATGGTCTTCCTTGGGTAAAAGTGAAAATGTTAACACACCTGCACTGAACAGGCAGTTCATGATCACAAGTTACATTATTATCTCTAAATAGCCTCTTATATCAGACACTTAAATTAAGATCAGAGACTGATTTGGCCAGTTGTGTTATCCTGTTGTCTTCATGTGATGAGGGTGAGCTCACACCTGATTGATCTGTGGTTGTCTGTGAGGGGAACTGGAACTTACTTGGACATTTATGGCTACTGGATTTATCAAAGTATGGACATGGTCCACACATAGGCTATGTGATTTAATCATTCATTTTCCAAATCATAATAATACATATTGGTAGTTTGGGTATGTTGCCCTTTACTTTGGCAAATATAGAGGGTATGCATTAGCATCACTTTTCATATGATACAACCCCTCTCACACATGACACTTGCTATGAATGGGCAAACAGCTGATTGCACAATTTCGCTGTGATAATATCCACATCCACTGATGTTCCATTCATACTGTCAGTGGAGTGATATAGAATTGACATGACTGTTTGGTGTTGTTATAGTTGCAATGGTGCACACTTTTCATTTCAATTCATCTGCATATGCATGGATTTCATTCATACTGGTCTTAAAGTGTCAGTAAAGACTCAAGTCTCAAATCATTCAATTTGAAAAAAAAATTTTAATTTAAAGTTGTAGAGAATGTGTTTACAGCTTGGATTCAGCATGAATAGCAACGAAGGGGTCCTCATCTCTGTTACTGATCCTGAAGTGAGCTCGGCCATCACCGCCCACATGGATCTGCTTCCCAGTGCACCTGTGTCCGTCCTTCTGGCCAGAAATGACATCACAGTAGGTGCCACCAGGCATGCCAGTGTTCAGGGTCACATCCAGGTCCCTGAGGGTGAAGACGAGGTTCATATTGTTTTGAAAAACCAAAAAAGGAGCTATTTAAGTTTTACTATTGCTACATAGCCAGCGTTAGCATTAGCAGCTGTTTATTTACCAGTCTAGAGGCTTGCCAAGAACTGTCTCCTGTGGTGAGAAAGCAGCCCTTTTATTTAGGTTCTATTTCTATCAATTCTTTTCTTCTACTGAAGTTAGTATGCTAACCAGCTAACTGTAGCCTGGTTGGCCCATCTTGTCACTTTCCAATAGTGAGTCACTGTAGTGTCCAGTCTGCACTGAAGATGCAGCGCTGCTCAGAGAGCGTATTACAACGTCTTGAATTGTAAATGCAACAATGGCTTAAGCTTTTGGCAAGGTAAGTAAACAGCTGTTAATGCTTATGTTGGCTATGTAGCAATAGCAAAACTTACATGTAGTTTCTTTAAAGCCAATAGTGTATTACACAACATAGAAATCCAATGAACTGTTTTAACAGAATACTTCATTGTTCAAGCTAGTATATTTTAGTATGTGCCAAAATGGTCCATCTGACACATTAGTTTTCACTGGCTAGGACTTATTTAAGTGGATGACATTAGTTTTTGTCAATACCAGTTAGATTCTTACCAGTCATCATTGTTAAAGACGATGAAACCACGATTACCACGTCCAAAGGCAACCTGGTTGCTCCTGTTGTCCCACCAATTGGAGTGAGGCTGTCCATTCACGACGTTACGGAAGACGACCATGTTCCTAGGGAGGAGATCCAATAAAATAAAATCATAATGTGTAATGTACATATAATAGTCTTTACATGTATATGATCATAAGTCAAGCAGAAATTAATGATATTCTGTGCATAAGGTCAGCAGTTCTTTCTGAGGACTCACTTGATCTGACGCCATCTGTGCTCACACACCCATCCATCTCCACAAGTCTGGTCAGGGTTGATGGGAACAGACTTGGTGGATCCATCACCATGGCTGGGAGGGCCCATCCAGTCATTCTGATCCTATAGTGATTAGTAAATGGGTTTAATAAAAAAATGTTTCCAAAAACACACCAAACATTGCATTTTATCATTACTGCTACTTAAGAGAACGAACCTTTCCATTCACAATGTGGCGGTTCCAACGGAAGCTAGACATCACCCTGGTCACTCCGTAAGGGTGGGCCAGCATGTAACCAACAGCCATCTTGTAGAGCCTGGAGTCCCAGAAGGTAACGATGGATGCACCACCAGCACCATGGCCTCTCTGGTTGTCGTGGTTGTCAACGAAAACGAAAGCATTGCCATTTGGCATAAAACCCCAACCCTCTCCCCAGTTCCTGGAGACAAGAATACAATTTTACTAATGAGAAGTTCACTTTTAAAACACCCAAGTCTGGACAAAAGATAACCTAAAGTATTTAATTTACAAACTCTAAAGTGTAACAGTTCTAGTCAATGATCATTTATGAAACATTTTGTCCCTAGATACATTGGCAAGTAAGAACCTATTTGTCCAATCCATCAATTCATGCAACGAATGGGATCATGCCATAATTAAACAATCTCTTCTAATATATCAGATTGATATACGATTTAGGCACACCAGCAGAAACACACACACCTAGTGTAAGACAGCTTCTCGCCATTCCATTTTCTGAAGATAGCTCCCAGTCTGGCACCATATTTGAACTCAGTTACCCTTCCCAGATGGAAGTACTCTCTAGATGTGATGGGCTCACCTCCCAGATCAATAACCTAGAGGGAAAACAACACATTATTCTTATCATCCGTGCAATGTGAAGTAGGAATGGTTTGTATTAACTGTACCATATCAGTGACTTGTGAATTGACAAAAAAATGATACAACAAATAAGCTTTTCTGATCCAGCACTAACACAAACCATATTTCTGTTGTTAAACCCTCATGTCTTCAGTGGAAACAAGATTTTTTTAGATCACAGGCTGCTTTTGCAGCTTACTTGAATTGAGTTTTGATTTGAGAACCTTCAGCCTTTTATAGTATAGCATCAGCATCACCTGGATATACAGGTGTTTGTGAACTAATGCATGTGCGTATTTGTCATCTAGTGCTGGCGAAATATGAATAAATAATTTTTGTCTTTTGAAATTGGTACCTTTGTGAGTTTGATGCATATCAGGTCTACACTAGTACAGTCTGCCTCCAGGAAATAGTAAGATGCTCGCATTGTAAAATTTGCTGATGCAGCTTGCCTATGTTGCACAACTTTTTGTGCCTGTCTATGTTAATAATTATTTTGCATTTTGGTTTGAGGACTTTTATCATCTTCAGGTTGTTTCTTATTTCTGCCACTGTCATGATACAA